CAGTAATACAGAAAATGCACTAAAGACCCTCGTCCCTTGTGCTCATATAAAAACCAAGCCAAAATCTGATGCCTACATCACTGCCTCCTCGGACTTGGGCTCCAGAAGCTTCCTAAAGGGAACCTAATTTTACACCGGTCCTATCCCAAGTGACCTCAGAGGCCAACCCCCCACGGTCTCACTCTTCTCACAGATTTCTCTGGCAACCGCTGTCACCCAGGGCAGTATGAATACCTCCTCAGGGCCTCGGGAGGACAGAGAACCAGTGATACTGACCACAGCAAGGCTGCTCGGCTCAGCACTGACTGAGCACCGCTGGGGGTCACGCCGGGCCACTGTGCTGAGACCAAATGGGCCACATCACGCCCCAGCCTCTGGGGTCTATCTCCTTCTCTGTGGAGGTACATTTGTTATCGACCTCGTGAGATTGTGCCAAACCTCCACCTCCTCCCTGATTCTGCCTCTCTCCGCTCCAACATACCATGTCAGTGAATCCGATGGCACTGGCAGGACACTTTGAGGCCAAATCTCTTGTCCAACTAGACATGAGCAAGAGTCCCACTACTCTCTGAGCCAACGGAAGATCCCCTCAGGGAAGCTTCCCCTGGAAAGGTTGGGTTATTGACTTAATTTCCCACTAAAAACAGGTCAACAAGTCAGCCCTGGGGGATTCCAGCTACAGGAAAGGAAGCTGCCACCTGGAAGAATCCTGGCAGCTGCTGAGAAAGCTGCCGCTAACGGGTGCTGGGCTCTGATCTCAACAAGGGACAGTAACCCCAGTCAGTAGGAAAAGAATTCTCGTTTCAAATTTCCTTTTTTTTTATTCTAAATAAAAACCACACTTTGTGCCGAACAATGGAATATAAAAGAATCAGATGTACAACGATTTTAGACATCTACTATTTGGGAAAAGAAGTTTACAAAATATACAAAACTTTACAGCAATAGATAGTAAACACTTAAATATTAGGAGGTCAGTACTTATTAATTTAATGGAAGGAAGTTAGACGTCAACAACTCTTCTTGGTTTCGTAAGAGACTTTCGCTAGCAGAGGTGGGAGGGGAGGGCAGACTGGACAGGGGGAGGGGTGTTAAAGAAACATCGAAATCAAAACAGTTTCATTTCCATTCGGGTGTTCAGCTTACGATGCGTGATCACAATGAAATCAATGCTGTGTGCCTGTGCTTCCTGACTCACTCAGTGCAGGACTGAGGCAAAAGGATGTGTGGGGACCTCCAGATGGGCAGACTTCTCCACACAGCCCACTCCCGTGCCAACAAAATCAGTGTCCATCTATAAAAGGATTTGAATTTGCTTCCAAAGATGAGTAGTCTCAAGAATAGGGCACAGCAAGAGGCCAGAAAACAAAGAGTATTCATCAGTAGCAAAACCTGACTGGGGAGAAGGTATTTAAGCCCAAAGGTTTGTCCTGGAGACCAAGGGATGCTGAACAGAAAGGAAGAAAGTCAAAAAGAACTTTTACCCATTTCCTGGTTCTTAGAGGTCACGTGGGCCCAACTCCCACCTCTTTTCTTTCCAGCTAGCCATGAACTATAGAGACTCCCTGGGGCCTTAAAATTTAGGACGAAATACTAAAATACAGCAGCGCTTCCCAGCAGGTGCTGTGGCCATCAGTGAGCCATCACTGAGTCACAGGAGAAGCAGGATACAGATCCCCTCCTCTGGCCACAAGCAGCCTCTGCTGTTTCTTCCAATGTGCCATACAAGTATTACCTTTTTCCCTTAAGAAACAGGTTGGGAATAGCCTCATGCCTGGTTTAATGCTCTACAGTCGCCATCTCGAAATTCTTCATTTTTAAACAAAGGGCTCTGCAAATTACGTAGCTCGTCCTGAGTCAGAACAAGAAAAAGGAAAAAGGGAGGAAAAAAAAAGACATTCAGGGGTCAAAGAGAACCTCAGAACAATACAGCAGACTGCTAAACTGGGCTCCAAGGTGGGGAAGGGGGGGCGGTGGGGAAGGGGGGGCATGGGGGCAACAAAATCAAATGAACAGAAGGTTGAAAAAAAATAAAAAAACTCAAAAGAAAATGAATACCTTCAACCAGCTATCCCAGATGCCCTCTGCCACAATAGAGTTTCAAGTAAAACAGTTCAGAAAAGAGTGAGCTGGAGGCAGCAAACATGACTCCAAACAGAGGGAGGGGTCAGGTGTGAATATGGGGACAAGCAGAGGAACAGGGTTTGGTCAGTGAGCCTCATGAGCTACTGACCCTGCTACATGTCTAACTGCAACCAACCGGGCCACCCTGATCAACCACTTGACCTCAGGAGGATCAGGGAACGCAGTTTTTTGTTTAGTGTTTCAGGGGCAAAGTTTCAAGGATTTGCTTTTTGGTTTACTGGCAAAAAGGGAAAACTTCACAGTTTCAGGTTAAGTATACAGACTACCCAGCATCCACGATGCCCTCCGTTAAGGAAAAGGGTTTCTCCAGCACACTGATCCATTCTCAGCTACCTGGCTGGGTTCCAGTAAGTACCACCTCTCTCAAATCTGACCATTCAAAAATCAGTCCTCATCAACAGTCTGGGAATTACCCAGCCTTGAAAAGCTTAGCAGACACTAGACGGTAGCCTTTTGCACATTCTCCTTAAATTTCTAATGGTCAGCATGGGGAAGAAAGGGAGAAGCCAACTAGGGGTGAAAAATCTCAGCACTGGGGCACCTGGGTGGCTCAGTCAGTTGAGCGTCCAGCTCTTGATCTCAGCTCCGGTCACGATCTCCCGGTTCGTAGGTTTGAGCCCCGCCTTGGGCTCTGTGCCGACAGCATGGAGACTGCTTGGGATTCTGTCTCTCCCTCTCACTGCCCCTCCCCTGCTTGTACTGTACTCTCTCAAAATAAATAAACTTAAAAAAAAAAAAAAAAAAGTCTCAGCACTGCTCTCCTGACAAGAATGACCTGAGGCAACAGGTAACAAGTTGGGTTTAGATGGTGAAAAGTGGCCACTGTACAAATCTCTTCGTGTAACAGTCACCCCACCAGAGAGTCATGCACCCTAACCGGGAGGCTTTATCAACTTAGGGCTAGGGAGAGAGACAGCAAGTCCAACAAGGACGGAGCTTTGGCTTGCCTGTATATCTTAACATAGCTTCCCAAGTTTAGGAAGGATGAGAAAATGTGCAAAAAGGTCCTTCATATAACTTGTTACCCTCAACACAATCCCCAATCTACTCAATCATAGGAAGGAAGAGGGATAAAAGGCCTAGGAATTTAATAGGCCCCAAACTTCTAGAACTTACATCCATTATCTAAAGGGTAATGCAAGAGACCATGTGGAGAGAAAGAAAAGAATTTGCTTGTTTAAAGGCTTGACACCTTCTCCCCTATTCTAGCCCCTGTTTCCCAAATCTCTGGCCAGGATTGTCCCCTGGAATATGGCTACTTGCTGGAGAGAAACTCATTTTCCTGAAGTCACTAATCCAAAAGAGATGCTGGATAATATGTATATAAAAGCAAAAATAAATAAATATTATTGTCCAAAAAGGCTCTGTGAGTGAATTAAAACCACTTGCTTGTGAAACAGCCCGGGGTGCGGCTGAGTCCCACCAAGGGCAGTGTCAGGGCCTCGGCCAGGGACTCCCAGAGCTCGCCTGAGCAGGGTGAGGTAGTATGAGTTACTGAGGTGCTACCTTGTGAATATGCGAGATCCGAGGGCCCTCTCCCTCAAGCCTTCTTTGGGCAGAAACCCCTCAAAAGCCACAGAACGGAGCCAACCAGCCCCAAGGACTGGGCAGACTCCATCACAGCCACCCAGGGAGGGCCTAAACCAGCTGCCCTCCAATAGCGCCCCCTGGTGGCAATGCAATGACAGATCAGGATAAATTCCAGCAGGTCAAAGGTGAGCTGCCAAGGCTCCCGGCCAGTTAGTGTACAAAGTAAACAACGGGTTACCCGACTGGGACAGACAGAGCGCACATCCCGCTACACACCACGTTACCCAGGTCCCTTCAATCCTGAAGGGCTCACAGTCCATCACTCTGCCACCTCATGGGGTCTTCTCATCTATACCACAGGTCAAACACACTTCTAGGTGGGAGACTGGATGTAAATTAAGGCAAGGCTGCTGCTGTCAGAGACATCCCCACCTCTCCACCAGGAAACTCAAGCTCGACGGAGGCCGCCAGATGACAGGTGACTGTATCAAAGTGGCTCCTTGTCCTCTTTACCCCACAGGGAAGGCCTAGCAACCTGGGCTATAACTCCATAAAACCGTATTTCTTTGGAATTGAGGAGAAAGGAGAAACCTCCCTTCCTGTCCATCCCGGCTGCCACTTCTGGCGGCACCGCAGGCCACCTCTTCTGACTGGCAAGGATTCATCCCAAAGCGTTCTGACCTAAATAGAAAGCTTTGTCCCCAGTTTGGATCTAGCTGCCAAAAGATTTTACTGTCCCATCAGCAGATTAGAGTGTCGCAACAAGCAGGCACCTCCATCCCATCTGCCTTTTCCCTGCTGAGGGCTGGGCCGGGAACCTGAGGTGAGCTGCCCTGCTGACTAGTCTTTTCCGAACGACCACATTTCCAAAATCTCTCTCACAGCTGGGCGTCCCAGTTGGAAATCTGGTACTAACACCCACAGTGAAAAGCCCTCTCTCCACCTCCTCTGTTCAGTGAGGCCGTTGGTTGGATTGTTAGCAGCATAAAACCTATCAGTAAACTAAAACTTGAGAGCCTCGGAGAGGGGATCTAGTTGATGCCAACTGCCTGACCAGATCCCCAAACCGGCCTCAAAAGAATCAAAAAACACAGCCCTTCCTGGGCAAGAACAGGTAAGGAGGTAAACATGATAGGGCCATCGCTTCTCAAATACAGTAACAGCTCGTGTGCTCTTTCTTCTTCTTTTCTTCTTTAAACACAGGACAGAACAGAATTCCGAGCAAGGCCAAACTGAAACTCTGGCTGGAGAGGGACCAACAGCCACTAGAAAATCAACGTCCTGGCTGCCGCCTGGGAGCTCCCCCTAGCTCCGCTGGGACCCAGTCAGCTGTCCGGGTTCTTTTCTGCCTCTTTGGAATGGATAATGTACATGAAGGTCTGTTCGATGGTGAAGTCAGGCGGGAGGCTGCCTTTGTGCACGCCGACGTGCTTGCTCATGAGGTTAAGGGTGGAGCTGTAGTGGCCACAGACCGTGCAGCGGTACATGAGGGCCCCCGAGTGCGTCTTCAGGTGGCACTTGATGGTCGAGCGGCCTCGGAAGAACTTGTGGCACACCTTACACTGGTACGGCTTCTCGCCCGTGTGGATCCGCCGGTGGTAGTTGAACTCGCTTGTGTGGGCGAACCTTTTGCCACAGACCTTGCAGCTATACTTGCTGTTCCCAGCTTGGCCCTGCAGAGCCAGCTCCTCACTCAGGAACTCTTCCGCAGGCAGCTTCCGCTTCTGGAGAGCTGGGTGCTGCAGCCCAAAGCCAGGCCGGGCGTCAAGGCCACTGTTGCACTTGTGCTGGCTGACATGGTAGCGATAGGCGGCCTCCGACTTAAAGCTCTGGCTGCACAAGTGGCAGCGGAAGAGGGCGTCTTCCAGGCTTTGGTGCACGGCCATGTGCTTCTCTAGGAGATGCCAGTCCACAAAGCTGTTCGCACAGACAGAGCAGGAGAAGACTGAAATGCCGAGATGGGACAGCGTGTGCCACATGAGGCTGCAGAGGTTGAGGTGGCGCTGGTCACAGACGCTACAGGCCTGGCCCTTCAGGTTTAGATGGTCTAGGATGTGCCCCCGGACCACGTGGAAATCTTTGGCCAGTGCCTTCCCACAGGCAGCGCATTTCAACTCCGCGGAGGCTGTCCCTGAAAACAAACCCAGCTTCCCAGACAGGGGATCGTTGGGGTGGACAATAATGTTGTTCTCAAATATCCCATCCCGTCGGTGGAGGGTCAGCTGCCACTGCGTAAAGAATTTAGTTTCACACATGTCGCAGGAGAAGAGGAAAATACCAATGTGGGACAGGACGTGGGTCACCCGGGAGTTTCGGTCCTGGAAGTGGGTCTCACAGACCTTGCAGTTGCCTGTCAGCAGGTCCACGTGGTCCCGAGCATGCTGTCGGATCAGCTGAATGTTGGGCTCTAGAACTTTCTTGCACACCTGGCAGGGCATGGCCTTATTCTCTCGGCTGTCACTCTCTCCAAAAGTCAGCTCATCCTCACTGTCGTCACTCAACTCGATCACCTCCTCGGCCGTGCCTGTCTCCTCAATGGGGTCTTCAAACGGCAAGTCACCATCCCCCAGGTCCTCCAGCTGGAGCTCATCCATCTGCCCAAAGCCTGGATCTTTGGAGTGGTCGCTATTGCTCAGACAGGAGTTGGTCCCAGTGGTCATGTCAATTGCATTGTCAGTGGTGAAGAAACTGTTTTTACTGAAGTCTCCATTGCTCTGAACTTTGTATGGCTGGCAGCAGCTGGTGCTGGTTTGGATGCCCATGCTGACAGTGCCTAGGCCTGGCGGAGTTGCCATCCTGGGGACGGAAGTGAAAGGAGCAGGAGCATCATGGTCTTCTGTCTTTGGCGGCAGTGGCTGCTGTGGCAGAGGCAGGCTATGGTTAATGTCACCGGTAACATTTCTCTCTTCGTCTTTACAGCTTCCTCCAGCATCACTAGGTAACACGTAGTTCCTATCAGGACCGAAGTGCTCCCCACCAGCCCGGAGGTCTCCAAGGGGATAGGTAGGTTCTGCCGAGCTACAACTCTGGGCGCCAGAGTGGCTCTCACTGGCGCCGGTCAGGGGCTTGGCCACGGCCGTGCTTTCCAGGTCAGGAAAGGTGGAGTGGCAGGCCCGAAGGAGATCCTCCATACCCAGGCGCTCGGCCACCTCGTAGATGACCCCAACATTGATCAGGTCTGTGAAGAGCTCTGATGTGTAGACAAAGCTCAGAATCTTCTCAAAGTTGGCAGGGGTGATGAAGTCCACCACGTAGGTCCTGGCGGCATCGAGCCCAGTGTTCAGGAAGAGGTTCTGGAAGTAGCCAGCTGCACAGGCCAGCACGGCTTTGTGGGCCGGGAAGGAGCGGCTCCCCACCACAATGGTGACATCGCACATGGTCTCCGAGAGCCGGCACTTGTTGAGTTCCTTCAGCAGGTTGTTGGGGTGGTTGGTGCTTTGCAGTTTGATCCTCATGCCCATCTTAGCAGCTCCTGTGAAGTTGCCTCTATATCAGCACGGTTCACCTACGGACAGCAAAAGGAAGAGATGGATGGCCACACACATCCCTGCAGGCGAGGAGCTCTGCGGAAGAAAATACCGCCCGTCTGAGTGTTTCCAAGCCCTGGGTGGAGAAGAGCAGGAGAAAATGGACGTGGAGAGCTGGTCTATGCTGCTGGGCGCAATGACGGGACAATGACCCCTCTCCCTGCATAGTCACAGAGTTGTCCTAACAAAATCCAAAAGTATTGAAAAAAATCTGACAGCTTGGTCTTTAAGAGTCAGTAAGAGAGGTTGTAGGCCTGGTTGGACAGGAGCTAGTGCCTCAGAGCCAAGCCAGAGGCACCCTCTCAGACACCGTTTTTATTTCATTACCAGAGCCACGGCTCAGATTTTACTCATATTAATTTTCTAATTTCTTCCTGAATACAAGCTTTCCTATCTCATTGAGTACATTCACTTCTCTTACAATTGCCAAATGCCATATACATCTTGGGACACAATTACCAAAGCTCCATTAGCCACTGAGGGCAAGATAAGGTTGCTCTTTTAGTTTCCTATCAATGCTGTGTCTTTTCAGTCCAATAAACCTCTTGCTCATTCACGAGTTCCCATCTCTCCCTGCTACCTGCCTACTCTCTTGTCTCGCCATAGCCCAGAGCCATCCAGATAGTGTTCTGTCACCTTCTCTGTATGCTGTGGATGAAGCTAAAGCACTCAGGACCCAAAGAAATAAAGCAAAGTAGAATACACTGTGGTATTTACTCTTACTTAAATATGTTTTTTTTTTTTT